TTTCTGTCCCTAGGAAGTTTTCTGGTTTAGAGTAAATACTTCTGTCCTTCCTGGTGATTTGCTGTGCATGTGTGCATTCAGAACAGGTATATGTGCTCAGACTGCATCACAGAGGAGTCGTTATGAGAGAGAGGAAGGGAATAAACAGCCAGAGCAGGTGCACGTTTGCTGTGACACCTTAGAGAGAGAGCCTACACAAAAGCATGTGCATGGGAGGTGTTCTTCCCAGTTTTATGCAAAGCAACCTTCTCTTCTCTTCTAAAAATAAACTTTGGAGAGACAAAGTAGCTGATAATTAATTGAAATGGGATGCCAGTTGAATTTGATTGTCCCAGAAACCTCCAAGGAGAGCGTCAGTCCCACAGACCCCTCAGGCACAGTTGTTCTGCTCAGCATGTTGTTCCAGTGACTGCCTGGGGGTAGTCCTGCTGTGGAAGGGAATGCATCTCACAGGCTCGTGTCCTTTCAGAGATGGGTGTTGTAAGGGTCTTGATTTAGGCCTCGCAGATTTGGCAGCAGAGTTGGATGGTGATTTCTTTCCTTTTCAGAGCCTTGCGAGTGCGTAAGAAAACGGGAGGAGAGAAGATGCCCGTGCAGATGATTGGGGACATCCTGGCAGCAGAGCTCTCTCACATGCAGGCCTACATTCGGTTCTGCAGCTGCCAGCTCAACGGAGCTTCCTTGCTGCAGCAGAAAACTGATGAAGATCCTGATTTCAAAGACTATTTAAAGGTGTCTCATTTAGTAGCTTTTGTGCCTTCTCCTTTCCTTAATGACGAGAGCCCATCTAACCAACATCAGCCTGATCAAAATAACCCAGAAGAGTAAAATGTTGCAAAACGAGCTAAGAGTCTTCCAGGTTGTATTTATATGGTGATCATGGTTAACACTGTGTGTGCCTTTTCTTTATACATTTCTCTCTGTCTCTCTAGCTAATTCATTACTCCATTTCCCATTCCATTGCTCATTACTTCAGCATAACTCTAACCCCACATCGCTGTGGTGCTGGTGTCTGCACCTTCCCAAAAATTCATGCTGTCAGAAGGGGTTAGAGTCTGTGGAGCTGAAATAAAGAAGCTGTTGTTGTGAATGTGCTTGTAGCTCAGTGGGACAGGCAGCATGTCTGAACAGTGTGGTTGCAGCCAGGGCCAGAGGTGTGCCCCGAGCGTCATGGGCACCCACACTGCAGAAATAAATAAGGAATTGCTGCCATACTGCAGCTGATGAGACTTTGGGGCCATGAAGGGAGAAATGCCAGAACTGTTGATGTCAGGTGTTTCTTTCATCGCTTTGTGAGGTTTTTTTTTCAACCTGACTGGAGCCTGTAATGGCAAATTAAAAGCTGGAATGGTTTTGAATGCGAGGATTCTGCATGAACAATGATCCTGGTGGGTTCTGCTGGCAAAGCGTCTGGCTACAACGACAGCACCAGCTTTCCTGTTTGTTCTAGACACAATATTGTTTGCTTACTGGAAAATCTAAGATTTCTTGCAACACCTGGAAAAATGAATCTGATCAGGCAGTTTTCAGCTTTCAGTGCAGAGAGGCAACTGTTCCTTGATGAGTAACGCAATGTCTCTGTTAAATCTCTGGGTTGCACCATAGAAACTTGCCTTGGACCATCGGTGCAAAGGAATGCCCCTCTCCAGTTTCCTCCTGAAACCTATGCAGAGGATCACACGCTACCCTCTGCTCATAAAGAGTGTGAGTACCTGAAGCAAGGTTTTCTAGGTGAATCCTTTTGAGTTCGATCGTGCCAGTAAAAAAAGTAAAAAAAGTAAAAAAAGTAAAAAAAAAGCCTTATCCCTTTGTGGAGATTTCTCCGAGACTGCGGAGAAGTAGTGCCTGTGCTTACCAGCTTTTAACTTGGTTTTCTCCCCTCTGTAACCCCTCCCAGATTCTGGAGAACACTGCAGAAAGCCACCCCGACCACAGCAGCCTGCGGCTGGCCCTGGAGCGTGCGGAGGAGCTCTGCTCCCAGGTCAACGAGGGCGTGCGCCAGAAGGAGAACTCGGACAGGCTGGAGTGGATACAGGCCCACGTCCAGTGTGAGGGTCTTGCTGAGGTACCTGAGCTGGGACCTGTCTGGTGGGGACTCTCCCAAGGCATTTCTGGGCAGCTCCAGGAGGGAATGGGAGTCCTTGCTCACATCTGTTCCAGGAACGTGATCTGCTGCCGAGCTCTTGGCAGAGCTTTTATCAAATTCTGCTCAACTTACAGCTGTCCTGTGAGGAGCCCTCAGTTTTCCATGACTTTGGCAGTGGAGAAATCTTGATTTATCAGCTTAAAATTGATAGCGTTTAAACTGTTAAATGAACAGAAATAATTCTTTGTCCTTGATGTTCTGCTTGTGCTGCCACATAGTAAGTCAGGTGTTACTACGTGGAATTTCAGTTAGTGTGTGTTTCCCAGGGTTTTCCTTCATGCAGAAAGGGCACAGAAGCCCCCAGTGGCAGATCCTCAAAGATAGGTGGGGTTCAGGCTCCTGTACCTTTCAGCACAGCCTTCAGAATGAGGTGTTGTGACAGTTCATCACTGGCTGTGTAAGGAACCAGGGCTGGACAGTCCCAGAAGGTCTGTCCTAGTTCCATCACCTAATCAAGTGGCCGTGAGGTAAAAGCCTTTCTCCAGTCAGACCTCTGTGTTTGTTGTTCATAAAGCTTAAATCTACTTCAGATTTGCAGTAGCATTGATACCATGGCAGATCATAAAACAGTTTCCCTTCTCTTCATTGGTAACTAAAGTCACTAAACAAAACAGAAAGCATTTTGAGCAGCTCAAGCAGCCTCCACTGTGAAAAGGAGCTGGAACTGATGCCTGTTTTAACTTGCTGCTGCTAATGGGTTTTGTCTCTCCTAGCAACCTGTGTTCAACTCCCTCACGAACTGCTTGGGACCACGGAAACTCCTGCACAGTGGCAAGCTGTACAAGGCCAAGAGCAATAAGGAGCTGTATGGCTTCCTTTTCAATGACTTCCTCCTGCTCACCTACATGGTGAAACAGTTTGTGTCTTCTGGCTCCGATAAACTGTTCAGCCCCAAATCCAACTCCCAGTTCAAAATGTACAAGATGGTGAGTGAATCAAGGTGGCCCATGGTCGTGTTGATGCCTGTGATGAGGAACACTGTTCTCCCTGCTGGGATTAGCTGTCTAGCCCTGTCTGATCATTTGCTGTCACACGGGCACATCCTGGCAGCCAACATGCTCTAAAGTTGCTGGCTGGGTCCCCAGAAGAGGACAGGCTTCTGTGCCTTGGTTTAATAAACACTCCCATCTACTTTGGGGTGATAGGGCAGAAAAAGCATCTGCCTGAGCAGCTGAGTGGAATGTGCAGAAGCAGGAGCCTTAAGTTTGCACAAGTTCCTGTGTCCAGAAGAAAATACTTGTCTGTCTTTAGAAAACAGCAAAAGGTGCAAAACTTTAGTCTCTGTCCACACAGTGCATGTTCTCAAGATTCTGGAGTTGGGGGGATAGGTTTCAGTATCGAGGCTGCTCCTGACAGGGAACCTGAGAGATTCCCAGGATTTCCAATCTGCACACTGCAGCTCTGCTTACAGAGTGCTGCCCCTTTCACAAAGCTTTTCAGCTAGGAAGACAGAATGGAGGGTGCCATCAGGGTAGTCTTTCTCTCAGTCCTTCATCCCATCCTTTACACGGTGATCTGATTGTTCATTCTGTGTCCTACAATTTTCATTTTCCCTGCTGTAAAACTGTGTATTTTTGCAGCCCTGTAGAGATCCCGTTTCTTGTCAGGGTGATGCTGCCATGGTGATGTTTGCTTTTCTTTCAGCCTATTTTCCTTAATGAAGTCCTAGTGAAATTGCCCACAGACCCTTCCAGTGATGAGCCAGTGTTCCACATATCACACATTGACAGAGTTTACACCCTTAGAACTGACAACATTAACGAGCGGTGAGTAGTGAGAATGAAATCTGAGCTTAGAGGTGCTGGTCATGGCTGTGGGCTGCATGTCCAGGGAGCTGATGTGGGGGTCTCTGAGTTCAAGGACAGGGTTTAATCTCTCAGGCAGGAAATAAACTCTTTTGACTCTCATTTGAATGACAAGTTTTCTCTGATTTTTTTCTGCTTGTGTGCCAGCTCTTGTGGTGGAATCCAGTCACATCTACTGCTCCTTGATGTTAGGGTTGTATAGAATCATTTAGGGCTGGAAACTCCAGCATCCCACTGGATTCTTCCCCAGTCCTGGTCAGTCTTTAATGTCACCCAGCAGTCAGCTCCCCTGGCATTTTTTAAAGACTGATGTGGAAATGTGTTATAGGAGTAAATCCAAAAGCTCCCATTGCTCTAGTCCTCGAACTAGCTTGATTTGTGATGCCTCTGAAACACGGTGGGGGGAGAAAATGTCAAAAAGAGATTGGGGTAGAGTCACTGCTACTGAAGAATTTCCTGCCTGTGGTATAAGCCTGACCAGAGGGATTGTTCTTTTCAGTACTGCCTGGGTCCAGAAGATCAAAGCAGCATCAGAGCAATACATCGAAACTGAGAAGAAGAAACGTGAAAAGGCTTATCAAGGTACCCCCTGAGTCCTGTGTTTCCCTCTCATCCACAGGGACACGTGGGTAGGGCCTTGCCTGGAGGACTCCACAGTGCCTGTGTAGGATCTCCCTCTTCAGATCTATTGCCAGTTTGTATGGTTGCAAGCACCACTCCATTTATCCCTGGCTTTTTTGTTCCCAGCTCGCTCACAGAAAACCTCAGGAATAGGACGTTTGATGGTGCACGTCATAGAAGCAACAGAACTGAAGGCCTGTAAGCCCAATGGTGAGTGAAGGAAACAGTGTCAAGTCACTTTTATTCCTGCAACATTTGGAGAGGTTTGCTGAGAGGAGTTTGGTGAGGTGGGAAACGTTGGGGTTTCAGCTGGTGTTTCTGGGAACTACCAGAGAGAGTCCAGTGGAGGGCTGTGAAGATGAGGGGACTGGAACATCCTCTTGAGGAAAGGCTGAGGGACATGGGGCTGTTTAGCCTGGAGGAGAGAAGAGTGAGGGAGTCTTATCAATGCTTGGCAATATCTGAAGGATGGGGGTCAAGAGGATGGGGCCAGTCTCTTTTTGGTGGTGCCCAGTGACAGAACAAGGGGCGATGGGCACAAAACTAGGAGATAGGAAGTTCCACTTAAACATAAGGAAATATTTCTTTACTATGAGGGTGATGGAGCCCTGGCACAGGCTGCCCAGAGAGGCTGTCAAGTCTCCTTCTCAGGAGACTTTCAAAAACTCCCTGGACACATTCTAGTGCCACCTGCTGTAGGTGAACCTGCTTTGGCAGATGGGTTGGACAAGATGATCTACAGAGGTCTCCTCCAGCCCCTACCATTCTGTGATTGATTCTGTAGGAATTAGCCATTACTTTCAGAGGACTGACTGAAGAAGGAGCTCTGTGCTGCTCTGGGATAGAGGGGTTGCCTGACCCACATCTGTTGCACAGCAGCTCTGCTGTGTGTCCAGGCAGCACCCCGAGGGAGGTTTCTGTGCTGCAGGGGTGTTTCACTGCTCCTTCTGTGCTTAGGGAAGAGCAACCCTTACTGTGAAATCAGCATGGGCTCTCAGAGCTACACCACGAGGACTCTGCAGGACACCTTGAACCCCAAGTGGAACTTCAACTGCCAGTTCTTCATTAAGGACCTGTATCAGGATGTCTTGTGTATCACCATGTTTGACAGGGATCAGTTCTCACCCGATGGTAAGTGTGAACATTTGTTCTAGGAAAAGAATGCTTTTTTTGTGACTTGGGGCACACAGTTCCTCACCAGCAGTTCCAAGAACCTGTAGGTGCTATTACTGCCTGATGAATGCTGTGTGAAAACAACACCTCCTTACTCAAGAGGTTCCATGGCCTCCCTGAGCCAGCAGCTCTGAGCAGTCAGGTTTGATCCTACTCTGGCCTTTGGATCAGGCACAGAATTATTTTTTGTCAGACTAGGGAGAAGGCAGAAGTTTTTCCTCTCTCACTATCAGTGCCTGAAAATAAGGGCACAGCAACAGCTTGATAAGCTTTCATTATTTTGCTTGGAAACTGACCACGTTTTTGGCACTCTTTAAAGGCCAAGTGCTTTTTCAGGGCTCTGACACATGGATTTGCAAGGTATGGCCTTGACCTGAGTTGCTCTGTGTGTAACTACAACTCAGCCTCCTCTCCTGGGAGGTAAGGTGACTTTGCTAGGCTGCCTCTCCCAGATGGACAGCCAGGTCTGTTATTTGTCAGTTCATGATAAACATTTTAATGCACATACACAGGCAAAGATGTTACATATGAAATGGCAAAAAAAATGGATGGATGTGTAATTTCTGAAGAGGACTGTGGACCTACCAGTGGCAGTAATGGTTCAAGGTCAATGTTCTTGTGGAAGGATTGATACAGAATCACAGAATGCTGTCAGTTGGAAGGGACCTTTCAAGGTCATCTAGTCCAACCCCCCTGCAGTGAGCAGGGACAACTTCAACTAGAGCAGGTTGCTCAGAGCCCCATTTAATCTCACCTGGAATGTTTCTAGGGTTGGGGCTTCTATCACATCTCTGAGCCACCTGTTCCAGCATCTCACCACCCTCAGTGTCAAAAATTTCTTCCATGTATCTACTCTAAATCTAACCTTATATAAAAGCATAATTAAAAGTTGGCTGAACTAAAATATTTGATTTTGTCTTCGTGGCACCACAGCTGACTTGTGAACATTTTCCAGCATTTAACTCTGACCTTCCAGCTCTAAGGCAGGAGAACATTTGAATTTTTTTTTCTGAAAGGGAACTGTGTTTTTGAAGCCCTCAGATCAAACCGTGGCACAAAGGCATGTTTGCCATCCTAATTCCACAGCATTTTTGGCTTGTAAAAAGACCCTGTTTTGTCACTGCTGTGCAGGGCTGAGGGTCAGCCAGACAGGAATTTTGGGAGCAGTGCTCTGGCACCGAACACGTGCTGTACAGCGCTGCTGCCTGACCTGATGCTTTCACATTTTCTAAGCTTAATGTCTTTGCTCAATGAAATTTCTTGTTTGCTCAACAGATTTTTTGGGTCGCACTGAAGTTCCAGTAGCAAAAATCAGAACAGAACAAGAGAGCAAAGGCCCAGTGACTAAACACTTGCTGCTGCACGAAGTTCCCACAGGCGAAGTCTGGGTCCGTTTTGACCTGCAGCTCTTTGATCAGAAAACACTCCTCTAAGGACACTTTTTCTTTTAATTTATGAAGGATGACTGAAGCTGACAGCCTGAACATTTTTTTGTGACAGCTTCCTTGCCCCACGCTGGTTACTGAGCATGAGTTCCTGCTGCTTCTGTATCTCCTCTCAGCTAAGAGTTGTGTTTAGTTTCTCGCAGCGTTTAAAGTTGCTGTTGATCTATGCAAAGACAGATGTTACTGTATATACAGTTCTATAGTTCAGTGCCTTTTTATTATGTTGGAATACCTTGGGTTTGGATGCCAACATTTCCATGTTCAGGGCCATAGAAAGTATTAAGTCAAAACGTGGCATCGAGCTGTATGTCTATTTTAGCACTTAGTCTTAACATATAGACTGAGGGAATGGTTTAAGCTCAGCACTAGAATCATTCCATTTAAACTCTGAAAAGTTGTATCCACTGGAATCTTCCCGTCTCAGGATGATAAAGATTAAATGCTGAAGAAGCCTTAGCACTGGAGAAGTCTCTGCTATATTGTATATTCTTTAAGAATTGAGTGTAGTTCTTCACTTCACTTCGTTCTGCACTGAAATCAGTAACTGCTACTTGATTTTTCCTTCTGCTTCTCTTTGATTCATCATTCTTTGCTGAGACAATAAGGTTGTGAAGAATAACTAGAAAAAAAAAAATATTTTAAATACTGTGACCCACAATAATGTGGAAAAATACTCTTCAGCCTTTGGTTTTTTTTCCTAAATGTAAGTTATTTGTGTACATTTCCTTGGTCTTGCAGACCTCCATGTGAATCTTGAGGCTTTGACATTGCCAACATGTATATAGAGAGTCAAATATAAGTTTATTAATGTAATTTGTCTACAGATGTTTATTGATGCATAGTGATTTTTAAAGAGTATATTTTATGTACAAGGGAATGTGAAATAACGAGAAAAAACTTAAAGGATTAAATTCAAGAAAAGTTTATTACAAGTTTAAAAGGGGGGGAACTGTCACCCCAACATGAGTCTGTGCAATGAGACTGGTGGAAAGCAAAATCTTTCTCTTTGCATCAAAATCAGGGAAGGTTAAACAAAAAAAAAAGTTTGTTTTTAAAGGGTTTGATACATTGTAAGCATTTTACTGCCTCCTTAAACTGCTCTGTTGAAAACACCCAGCCTGCAATCCTGAGCAGCACACGCCCTTGTTCTCCAGGGGTGCAGCAACACCTCCAGCTGTCCCACAGCTTCCCACCCGAGTGCCATCTGGGTACCCTCCTGTCACAGGGCTGAGTCAACCTCTGTTACTTTTAACAGTTTTCTGTGGTTCAGTATTTCTAATCCTAAATAAAACTAAATCTTGGCAATTCTTGAGAGGTTGTGTCTGTACAGCGGGAGTTGGGGGATTCTTGAACGTGCCCAGAGAACGTTCTGGTTTCAGGCTCTGACACCAGAGCAGCTGTGCAGCCACACTAGCAGGGAGACAGGGACCACACAGCCCTGAAGGAGGGTTGGCATATGGATGATGTCCACAACCAGGCAAGAAAGACCCTCCTGACTGGTTTTCCCACGAAAAAACCCAGCCTTGGGTGGGAACTTAACTTGGAGGTAGGGCAAGAAGCCACCTCTGTAAGAACCAGCTCCACTGGCAGTGGAGCTGGGAGGTTTGTCTACATGGTGCCTGTGTAGTGTGAGGATTATGGCTATTGGAAGGGCTCCCCAGCTCTTTACACCGACGGGAGTTCCCAGGATGACAGGGCCAGA